CTCAGGAAATAACATCATGTGATACTGACACTCTAAAACGTAACTTTTCACTTTCAGATTACACGGAGTACATTTCAGGATGTAACCATCTTCGTGGGACCACAGTGGAATACCAGATATTTACCGATGAGGTTTTCTGGGCCGAAGCTGAATCGTACTGCCACGACTATCTTGGTGGGAACCTTGCTAGAATTCACAATGATGAAACAAACACACTGATTTTGAGCTACATCGAGTCGTCCGGTGCTGGTGATGCGATTGCAACTGGGTTTTGGATTGGCTTAAACGACATTAGAAATGAGGGTGTATATGTGTGGTCGAATGGAGGAGAGACATGTTATGGCTTAGATTATATCCCGTGGGGGAACGGTGAACCCAATAACAACACAAAGAAGGATTCGAACGGCCAGGACTGCGTACAACTCAGGTAATAATCGATTGAATGAATGAAGAAAACCATCGTAATGCAGTACAACGATATGTTGTTAGTTCTGAATATTTACTGCTACTAATACATTCCTCTCATTGTAAAATACATGTGCACTGATTATTACGTAGTCACACTGTTTATACTGTCAGCCGAAGAATGCGTCTTGTCGTGTGTTTTTTTTTTGTCACATGCTTGTTGTCATGGCAGCTGTAAATCAAAGCAAATAAGAGAGTAAATCATTTTGTATTTCATATTCTCATTTCTTATCAACACAGAAAATCAATGAATTGGTCTTGGGATGACGACTACTGTAGCTACAGACCCAAGGGCTTCATTTGCGAGATACCAGGTACATGATAAAACCAATACACATCACATACTTGTGTAGAGGCTCCTCATTTAGAATGTAGGAATTCTAGACCTCGTATCTAAATCCAATTTAGAAATTCATCATTTGTCTTTTTCGCAGCGATGTTAGTTCTATTCAGTTTAGTCAGAGTATCGATACATGCCAACACGTGATTGGTTGACACACTCTCCCAAACGAGTTCTCAGGTTAACAAAGCCACTATGTGTTAGCCGATAACGGAGAGTCGGGCAAACCGCACATCCAATTCAACGAGCACATTTTTCTAGCTGACTATGTTGCTTGTTTTTTCACTTTATTCCAGTTTGCAGCGATCATCACGAATGTAATGTGTGCCAAGATTCAGTATAAATTCTCTGGGAGCTAAGATGTATCTGAAACTTTTACAGCAGTACTAGTTCTTCACGCTTTACGTCATGGCAAGTGACTGACACGTGCAATTAACACACACTTTCTTTCCATAGGTTGATTATTTTGGTGTGTTATTGGTGTCTGTATTATAACTTAATAAACATCACATAAATGCAAAATATTCCCTTGTCTGTATACATATAACCACATTTCACAAATTGAGGAACGATTTTTAATGTTTCTAAAATTGTACCGCAATTCTCTGGTACCAAGGTGTGTCAATGGTCGAAGTTTTAAAGCGGGGGAGTCGTCACCTGCGCATGCGTCAGCTGGCCATAGCGTGTCATTGTTTACAAACAAACGTCTACCCATGATCCTTTGCGTTTTCAGCGTGTGTTGTTATCGTCGGTTGGACTCAATTCCCGCGCGTGCGCAGGTGACAACCCTCCCGCTTTAAAAAGGCAATATGGTTAACGATGAGCATTTTTCAGCATGTAAATACGTTCTCGATAAATACAATATGATAAGATAGTAAACATAGCAGGATTCGTTTGTTGCAAAAATTAAAACGTTATTGTGTATATTATATTGTTTAGATATATGAGAAACAAAATGTATTTCAACATGCTCCAAATTATTTGAGCTTACCACATTGCCTTTTTAACAACTTTCTGGTCTGGTAATGTAATTCGTAGAGACTACGTATACGTGGTCTCGTCTCAATATGGCCGACGGGCGTTTGTTTCACATCGCTGTGGGTGAAAAGTGGGCGGGTATTATATTGTGAAAGACTCACATTACACTGAAACCTAGGTCGCAAAACATAAATCTACCCGAATTAGGGAGTATGTGCTCTCACTTGAAAAAAGGACTCTTTCCATATAGATCTGATTCTAATACGTACCAATTTTATAACTTTTGCGAAGAGAAGCTACTCTACTACAAATCGTATAATATTAAACTGCTTTACCAATACTAAACTTAAATGTCTTCAACACGGGGCCAAGTAAACTGATCTGGTCCTGGAAACATTGGAAAAATTGACCGTGCAGAGTGCTCAGTGAATATGGTATTGATTGGTTTTCCGTAGCCTTTAGGTCTGTGGTTATTTTTTGTGAACTGAAATACTGGCACCCCAGAGAATTAAATACTTAGTAGTGTGTGAAACCATCCACGGTCCTTAACCGGCGTCGATGCATGCAACAGAACATACTTCTAATCCGAAACTGTGTATCGAATTGAAGTGAATATGAAGGTAGATATAAAGTAATAGAATGAGGTGTACCCTGTTCAACGGATGGCGAGTGTCATATGAAAAATTAATTCATTCGTTGATTGATTGAAATAACAGTCACGTTGCAATAGGTAGAAACAATATTGTACCCATAAATTTTTGTCGGTATTCACACAAAGACTGGTGCGTTATTATGAAAAGTAGTATATATGGTATAATAGTATATTATCCAAAACTCCTTACATTTATTATACTTTTGAAAGTCATAGCTTGTAAAAGACAATTATCTACCTCGTGTGCAGATTCGTAAATTGAGAATAGGATTGTGAAGATTCTGGCGTTCCTCGCCTGATTTGTATATTGAACAAGGAACGAAATGGCAATGTTCCCGTTCAGAAAATACTGTGTAAATACTATTACAGTAGTATTTTACATTGAAGATGGATATTTTGGCCACATTAAACACTACCATCATAATGGTTTTCCGCTCGCTCTTCACATGATAAATTATTTAAACGAATTCAGTATTTACGCGGGGCCTACAGGGGAAACAGAACCAATCCTGTAAATACGTTCATGTATGTATATGTAACTGCATGCACGGCTTCACCACCAGACTTTCTCGCCCAAATTGTTCTCCACTTATATTTTACAATATTTCTGGAAATGAACCCTAATTTTTGAGACAAAATTTGAGTCAATATTCAGCTTTTACTCAAATAAATTGCTATTTTTGTCCTAATCTTCTGAAGGAAAGTGCAGACTATTTGGTGAATTTGTGATGAAAAGAGGGAACTGGTGGTGAAAAGGTGAAGATTACACAGCAACAAAACTATTTCAATACTTGATTGTGTCGCTCTGAAATATGGAAGGTGGTGGCCCAATAAGAATAGAAATGTAAAGGAACTAAAATAGCATATACGACTAAGGCAGTGGTGGTGGGTTTCAGATGCTACAACAAACTATACATGATACATTTGGAAACTTACCAGGAAAACAGTACGCAGATTTATCACAACAAAAATACTACATTCCGTATAGATCATTTCCAACCTTCCAGTTGTCAAGCTTTTTCGACACCCCATAATATATTAAAGTAATACACTGATCTGATGTAAACTATAATCAAGTTATATACACTGGAACATTAGATGCAATTATATATGTATGTATGTTAAAGGGTAGTCGTCGTGCCGTGTCCTGTTCGATATGGGACTCATGGCAACGTATACAACGCGTGTAAAATACATTGTTTATTTGCATGAAAACTGACCACGCGCTGCGCGACGACCACCGCGCTTTAACATACTAGTACATACATATATAATTGCATCTAATGTCCCACTACCTTGGTAGTAGCGGTCATAATCAATAAATATCTAAACAAGAAGCTACAGCAAATTCATATTGTTTTAACATTTGAAATGGTCTATGTATGTTTGAATAAATAAGAAAGGTTAGATACATTGTTACACTGATATTACGTGTAATCACATACAGAGCATTGGTGTTTTCGGAAAGTCAAAACGCTGTGTTCAGACTGTGTGCTAGATTGATGCAAAACAGTGTATACTCTAATAGAAGATTCCATCTCAGTTGCGTTAATTCATTTATTATTTCGCCAATTATTCTTTTTATAAACGGTCCCTTTGGTCGCCATCATTGTGCTTTGTACTTACTTGCGTACCCGCTATGTCGCAGTTCAATCTAATCCAGTGCCATCCACAAGCTTTCCATTGCATCGATATAATCGTTACATCGATTTCATACTAAGCTTCAAACAGTTTTAAATTGTGATCAAGTCAGTTAATAAAATCATCACGTGGTTTTCTGATTGATATTTGGGATGTGTCTAAATGAAACATACGTCATACAATACAAACACAACATCTGGAATGCTGCATTTCTGGTTAGCAGCAACAGCAGCACCTTTCAAACAGAATTATGTCTGTGTTTTCTATTAGTGATGATTTTAGGCTTTCGACAAGATGGCTAAATTGTCAGTCATATGACTCATGAACAATAGTGTATTTGATAGTATGGATGAATATACAGAAAACATCGTCAATGACATATTCAATGAAAGATGTAGATTGATTATAAATAAATGAGTGGAGATTATGTTAAAAATATGAAGTTACTTCAAATGGTGTCTTATACTAAAGTTGATAAAAATGATGCTCCCATTTTATATACATATATACCAAGATGGATATGTATAACCAAGATCTGAGTGTGGAATTTCAGAAATGCTTGATTTTAATGAATGTTATCATTAAAATAGTCGCCATCCAGCTATCTTGTATCTGATCTTCAGACAACTATATATGTATGTGTGTGACATAATGTATGATGTATTTCTAAAGTTTAAAGGTATGTCAAAGATATTGCTGGGAACAAAATGGCCACCAGTTGGCCATTTGGAATCAGATCTGAAAAACAAAATTAAAGTCTCATTATGTCCAATGTATGTACCAAGTACATTCATACACAGAATAGCATTTGTTTAAACAAAATGGCCACCAGTTGGCCATTTGGAATCAGATCTGAAAAACAAAATTAAAGTCTCATTATGTCCAATGTATGTACCAAGTACATCCATACACAGAATAGCATTTGTTTAAACAAAATGGCCACCAGTTGGCCATTTGGAATCAGATCTGAAAAACAAAATTAAAGTCTCATTATGTCCAATGTATGTACCAAGTACATCCATACACAGAATAGCATTTGTTTAAACAAAATGGCCACCAGTTGGCCATTTGGAATCAGATCTGAAAAACAAAATTAAAGTCTCATTATTGTCCAATGTATGTACCAAGTACATCCATACACAGAATAGCATGAATGCTTGTTTTTGATGAGTTGTAACAGTAAAATGGGCGCAAATCGACCATCTTGGATCAGATCGTGTAACGAATGGAAATGCATATGTATCCCAAGATGTTTGTACGATGTTTGAATGTGATTGGCCCAGGCATATCTGAGATAGAGTTGGGCGCTTACACAACCTTAAACATAAGTACCTGTTTAACGAAAAAGAAGAATGTTTAAGGCAACAATTTAACATGTCAAGAATTCTTTATTTAAAAAATTATTGTATTTACCATTCTTGCTAAAGTAGTACATTGAAAGTACATTTGTTCAGTAAAGTGATAGGAGTGTTTTACAAAAGTGAAAATAATAATCGGAAGGCTACAAAACAAATTTTTGTCTGTTGTATAACACAAGATTTAGCTAATGGTATATGAACTTGATGTTTGATACAAAATGGTAGAACATGCACATAAACTCTGTCCGTTAATACTAGTTTGATCACATGATATCAGCATCTGTATGAAGTATTAACATTTTTGGTGGCACTAATGCAACACAGAGCGATTTATTGGGAAGTATCTGAGAGGAAAGAAACAACAAACATACATACATACATACAGTAGTTATTCAGTCACAGATATTAAGACCGCAAATATTTCCTAAACTGAGTGAAAGGGCGATGGTTGTCATATTGCGATCTATTCGAAATGGGACTCATAGCAACATACACAACCCATGTAAAATTCATGAAATTCAAACACGCTCTGCGCAACGACCACTGCCCTTTAAATTATGCCTAGCTATTGCTTATTGCCAGTTGTGTTTTATCAGATTTTACAATGGTTATTGATGATTTGTTGGACCTAGAAGCATCAAAACAATCATTGCTAGAAATGCTTTCATTAATTTTAAACAAAACAAGCCATGCATGGCACAGTCCCCGTTAGTTATCAAATTTATTATATAGTTTTGTTTATAGTAATATAGCTGGAATATAAACATGTCAGGAATATGATTATGATGATTATTTAACATTTAAATGATTGACATTTGTATCTGATCGTCAAACGAGTATTGAGAGATATTGCTCTGGAACAGCCATTCTGAATCTGATCTAAAAAATAAAAT